AGAAAAATGGTCTGCCATTCTTCAGAGGAAATGGAAGTTTATTTGCTGTTCTGGAGGAAAAACATAACTATTTCTGAAAAATATTTTTGGGAATTTCCTACTCTTGCAGGCTCTTTATTGTCACAGAAAAGGATTTCTTTCTGTCACTGGGAACTTACTTTTTTGTGGATCTCTGTTTCCCTATCATTTTAATTAACAAGATCTCAGAACTGATGACAGTTCTGTCTCGTGGCATACAGCTGCAGATGTTTCCAACTACTTCGTGTTCTTTCAAATGCATCATCTATATGTCTGAATGTGTTATAGCAGAGAAGGTTTCTATCCTAGGAAGGATGAATGGATATTTTATTTACTATTAATAGCTTTTAAATTATCCATGAGTCCTGTGTTATAATAATAGTTTAAAAACATTGAAAATGCAAATACAACATCTTAAATAATATCTATATAGTTTATATCCAGGACAACTTTTCTTATATCAGAGCATTATTTTTGTGAGACATTACTTTGTGTTACTTCCTGTGAGTAAAAGCGCACAAGTAATTTTTTGAAGGGATCATTTCTAGAAATTAATCTAGAATTATTGCTTGCATCCATCCTGGTCTGGTGTCCATGTAGCTAATTGGTATCGCTAGCACTACTTTAAGCTTGTGTTTGTTTGTACCATGTCCCAGAAAAAGAAGGGCATTGAAGAAGAGGAAGGTTAGAAACTCTACTTCTTTTTTTACCTCTGTTCTTTCCCTCTTCCCGCATCAGTCTCAGCTCTTGTGGAGTGTAATGTGAAGTACTTTCCTGTGATTTCATTATCCATTGCTTTAGGTTGCAGTCTTTAACCGGAAAGGAAGGCAATGGGTCGTGCTTAACTAGAAAGTTTGATTGAGAGATGTTTTGCTTTTGCCTACTGAAGGTGAAGCCATAATTATGTCTGTGATTGATTTGTAGAGGACGATAGGTAAAATAAAATACTAAATCCTAAATAATAGTGGACTTGTATTTATTTTGCTTTCTCGTACTGAATGAATAATCCTTAAATTTTTAAGAAAAAAGAAACAGTACTTCATAGATGTAAACCATAGTAGATATTTTTCTTTTCTTGAAACTTTATACGTGTTGATGTATTGAGTAGCCAGTAAATGTGAAATTATATATGTGCTGCCATTTATCAAAAGATATTTGTTTCTCACTTTGAGGACAATTAATAGCAGCAGCCTTGTTAAACTTCCTGCCTTAATATCGATCAATAAGCAGTCATTCCAGAAAGTTGTGCTTCTGAAAGGTCTAGCATTAAATAAAAAGCTGACATTTCAAAGATTGATTTTCATGCCCAATCAAGAATGTAACCATCTTAGATTTAAATCCTTTAGCATTCATGTATTTTGTCTACATTTTTATGCCAAAATAGTACATTTTGTGAGGCTACCAGCAAGCAGAAGAGAACACTTTAAGGACCTATTCTCACTTTGTTTGGTTCCACCTGTATTTATGCTGTCATCACCTTCTCTTTCTGGTTTCAGTGAGAAGCATTTACCTCAATTGCATAGGTAGCAGGCCAATTGCAGAATGAGATTTGGAAGTGGGGCAAAAACCAAAGAAGGATGCATATGATGTATACAGAAAGGATGTATATCCTCACGCCTCACACATCCTCACACTGGCTGCAGTTGTTCCTTGGTCATACTTTATGCACAGGTTTGACGGTTTAGCAGCGGCTTGTGGAGAGCGTGAGCTTCTTGTGTTCGTGTTAAACTCACTGATATTCTGAGCAAGATGAGAGATGGGTTCTTGTGGTGCAGTGTGCCTGAAGATGAGAAAAATTTGAAATAGCAAAAGTTGAATCCCTGTTCATGTTTTGATATAATGTAGATACATTAAATAATAGATTTATTATGTAAGCAGAACTAGTTGGAAGAAGCAAAACAACTGAGTACTTTAAAGAAGTTTGATGCTTTATTTTATAGAAAAACCCATGACAGCAGTCTATTAAGACTTTATAAAGTTCTGGTGCAGCAAGAAAGGAGTGTTACCATATCATTTCTTGTGGTAATAAATTTAAATGGTCTGGTTGCTATTAGAATGCTGATCAGGAAGGAAACAGAAGTCTGTCCTTTTTTCATAAAAAGGTTTAAAAAAGGTTACACACTTCAAAATGAAGAAAAGACAGAAATTAAAAGCTTAAATAACTGCAAACAGCAGGGTACGTCAGTAATGGAAAGACTTCTTAAATGACTTTGACAGCTTTTGCAGGTGCACATACTATGTCACTTTGCCTAGCGGAGCATTGAAAAAGATTTATGGTTCTCCTTTTGGAATTTATTAAGAGTTTCTTTCTTTCTTCCTCTTTCTTTGCAAAGTAGTCTGGACATACCCCTCCCTTGCAGTTGTTTTTATTACAGCTCCTAGAGGAAAGTCACCTATTCAAAACCATGTGTTGCTTGTTGTCTCCATGGCTAGCTCACAGAGCTGTAAACTCTGGAGAATGTTGTTATTTACAGCCAGATATTTTCCTTCCCTTCCCCTTTTGCTTTTTATCTTTGTATGTTAATCCCATTTTATTTGGTTTAGTTCTTGAAAGTCTTCCTGTATAATTTTGTACCCCTAAACATTTAAATTGGTAATAAAAATATTTTTTTCAAAAGGGAGAATCTCACCATCAGGAACTAGAAGGATTTTGGTTGTTTTGGTGGGGGTTGTTTTGTTTGTTTGTTTGGGTTTTTATAGGTTTATCAACACAGGCTTTGTTATACTCTTTTATATGATGTTATTCTTGTTTTCAGTAGATGCTCTGAGGGGCCAGTGCTATGGTTGTGGTGTTTACCGATTCTAATTAATTTTACTCAGTTTCTGTTTCTCAGAGACACAACCTTTCTTTTTTCTTTTTTTTTTAAACTTGCCATCTATGCTCTTTGAAACATTAGTTGTTATTTTGACAAATCGGTGAGTGTTGTCTTGTGAGACTTTATTCCATGGATGGAGTTAATCCATCTACAGATAAACAAGAGTCTGGTTTGGTTTTGTTTTCTGAAATTTCTCAACATTTTTAAAGAACCTTCTTTCCTGCAAAACCTTGTCTTTATGTTAGTAGAAGTAAATGTGATGGCAGCATCTAATTCTAATGCAAATTCCAAGAAGTGGAGACAGAGACAGGGTTTTGCCCTCTGAGAGTCAAATCCAGGATTAGAGCTTTAATTACAGTGAATGTCATGTCAGAATTTTCTTGGAGAAGTAGTGAATTTCCAGTGTTACAGAAATAAAATATTTTAATTGTCCCAGTGAAGAACAATACTTAAAGCAGGAACTTTTAAACTGAAAACAGTGACTGTCATTATGGCAGTAATCGGTAAGATAACCAATCAGCAATATCAGTTAAAGCAGAGTGGTTAACCTTCCCTTTAGTTACATGCAGGGGTACGATTGATTACAATACTGATGGGAATGACACAAAGAACTCACAAAACTGGGAAAGACTTAGAAATATCAGTAGTCTGGCTTTGTTTCTCTGCCTTCCATCCTTTAATTTTTGTTCATTATGAAGCTTAGTTTCAGTTCTTTCATAGTTTTTAGCACTCTAATTCCCTCATTTTTTAGCAACTATAACTTAGTTTAGCACGTTAAGAATCATGTGTTTCCTCTTTGTGGACAAAGAACTATCGAAAGTGTTGTCAAAACTTGCTGCTTTAATTAAATCCTCTCTTGTTGAACAAGAAAAAAATGTGTCAGTCTATAAAGAGTGAACATTGAGACATTCCTGACAATAAGGAGAGGGGGGTAGTTACAGAGAGTGTTCCGGTACATGTAGAACACTGACAACGTCTGTAATAGGTGATGTACTGAAATGCCCACAATACTAGATTTCCAAGCTCCTTGTACCCTGAAATTAAGGCCATATTTCTTCCTCATCAGGGGCTGCTTGTAGGCTTCGGCATTTGCCGAACTGCATGATGAGATGTGGGCAGTAGCACTTCTTTTTACTTGTGTATGATTTTCTTTAAAGTTAGCTAACATTGTATTCCCTTTGCACAAATTCTATCTGTATGTCTTTAAATTATGGCCAGTTTTCCAAGGTTCAGAATCTCTTTGGTGGATTGATTGCCTGCATAGTTGAGCTTTGCAGGTTTTTGATACAAAGCAAATATAAGAGATGCACAGACCTTAAGACAGTCATTTGTGAAGCACAAGTGACTAAAATTCCTGACTTAAATGTTCTGGTCAAGATAGAGACTTTTTTTCAAGTATAGTAGAAATCTTTAGCCTGGTTCTGTGTGCTAAATAATGACATGAGATATATATATATATATAAAAAATAGGTTAGTGAGTACTCAGTGTGGTAGTAGGTGAATTTACAGCACACCAGCTACTCTACGCAAGCTCCCTGTGGGATGCTCTGAGTGTAGATTAACTTTGAGTTAACTGTAATTTACAGTAAATTATCTTGCCCAAAGGCATTCTTAGTGCACAGTTTTCGAGCTGGCATACTACTTACTCTGAAATTCTTCTTAACGCTCTAACATAAATATAGCTATGTAAAGAGATTCCTGACTTCTTTTGTGTCTGCTACTTCAAAAATCCATTTTTCTTCATGCTCAGTAGACCACATCAACCAAAACCTGGCAAATATTTCTATCAGAAAATAGTAAACCACAGTGCTTTTTTGTGATATACTTACAAGAAAGGGTAGACAGTAGACTTGAGTGATGCTTTTCCTCCAATAGCCAGTCTTGTGCTAATCAAGGCTTTGCATAAATAACAAGGCGCTCCAGGCTTTGCATAAATAATAAGGCCTTCCATAAGCTATGAAGAAAAATGGTTCTCTTTTTAATTGGTGATGCTTGAGGACTTCACATCCTCTTATAACAACCTTTAGAGGACTTGATCGATATGTGTTTTTCCTCATCAAGTGCTCAGGAAGTCTTAATGAGTAAACTGGCAGCTAGACTCCAAATAAATAATGCTGAAATAGAAAAAACAGAAAATTAACACTATATTTTTTGTTTATCCTCCAGACTCGTTTCAACCAGCGTCTCAGTAACCAGGATTTTACCTTGGATGAAGACGATGATGATGAAATGGAGAGAACAAGCAAGTAAGAAGCCTGTTTGGATGTGTCTATATGTATGGGAGACAGGGTAACTAGTGTTATTCAGCAAAGTTGAGTTCCAGTGACACATTTTTCTCCTGTCCAGGCTGCTAGCTTGATTCTTGATCTAGATGATGTCAAGTAGTTTAGGATTAAATCTGCTTTTAAAAAGAGGACAGGCTATTATATCTTTTCATTATTTATAGTGCCCAGAAGAGCTCAACATAATCCTCAGACTTCACAGACTCATGATAAAAAGATAAACTATGTACACAAAGAAGCAGTGAAATAGTATTCGTCAACATGGTGGGCAGTGACCTCAGCTAATCTATTCTTTAAGTCTTATGTTGTGGTCATGACAATGGAAAGTTTTCTGAAGGGTCTGAAAGAGAAATACTGCCTTGTGAGTTTTATGTCAAGGTCTTACTATGTGTGAATTAAAGGAAAATCATAACATGAGGCTTAAGCTGCACTGAGGCATTCTTTGATTGAGGAGATGATTTTTGATAATGAACATGTATCTATAAACCAAGAAGGACCTTGAAAGCAAAGTCAAGCAGCTTAAGCATGATGCAGTAGGGAAGAGGGAGCTACTGAAGTGTTCAAAGGATATCATCAAAACAGTGAGCCATGGAAATACCCTTTGTAGTAGTATTCTGGATAGACAGAGATAGGGAGAGACTGCAGTAGTATAGGGGTCAGAGGTAAAAGTATTGCAATGAATGAAAGAGAAAATAAGAGACAAAAGCACCAGTTCTCCTCACAGATAGCCAGTACTCTGGTAAATCTGGTCGTATGACAGAAGAGTTGCAGTATGAGAGTCTTGCCACTAGAACAAAATATGTGGCTAGGTCAGCTGGAGAAGTGTAGCAACACTGACCTAAATATAAGGTGTAGACAAGGGAAAAGAGGAACCAGTTTTGGAAACTGTAAAATTTGGAGGGAAGATTTGGGAAGTCATATTAAAGGCAATTTGAAATAACAGTTATAGTGATTGGGAAAGACCCAGGACACAGGAAAACCAGCTAATGGTAACTGCATCTCCCATAGATATCATACGTCTATGTTTAGGAAAATTCTTGAGTAGAAAGCAATTCCGTGTTATGTTCCCTTTCAAAAGTCTTGGAATGCATTCTGCTACTTACTTTCAGAAGTGACTGTAATAAAATGGCTTTCGTGTTCCTAGCTGATGGAAAAGTTTTTGTTTTCAGGTTATCATCAGAAGACAGTGAAGAAACTTCTGCTTGCTTTTACGATAGTGATGATTCTGGTGAAATTGGAATAACTCCTCAGCATCAAGGAGAAATGGACTTGCTTGGAGAGATTTTGGACACACTGAGCACACACAGTTCAGATCAAGGAAAGCTCGTAGGAGCAAAGAGCCTGGATTTCTTTAGGTCAATGGATGACATTGAGTACAAGGCTGCGGTTAGTCGTCTTCTGCTTTCATTTGAAAAACAACTCCAATCCCTTTATAGTGGAATTCTGCACTTGTGTAATAAACGACATCCAGCTCAGACACTGCAGCATAGTCCTTAGAACTGCTAGTGTGTCTTCCTAGGGCAACATAACAGTACACCCATGTGGTTTTCCCCCAGCCAAGAGACTGGTTACGCCTTTGTCTAGTTTACCAAGTCATCTTAGAATGGTATTTTTCCCTTGGTAACAGTAACCACATATAGAACTGTGAATAATGTAATAATTTACTTAAATAGTTTAATATCATATTTAGATGTTCAATTCCCAGAGCTCATTTTGGTCTTTTTTAACGTGGTTTAGAAGGTATTTATTTCTATTTTGACCTTGCATCCTTAAACTAGTCATAGTGATATGGTGGTGTTTCCATCTTGATTAAGTCATGGGATTCATGTGGTAATTGCACCTGAAACACTGCTAGAATAGTACTCCAGAGCTTTCTAAGAGGACTCCTTGATCACCCCTTTTTAGGTAGAGTTGCACAGGACCTGTAGTGTAAACAAACTGCCCGTAACTTTAAAACCCTCACCAAGACACTGCTGTGATGTAAGCCAAAAAAATGTTAGTGTTTTTGAATTCCAGCTCATATCAGCTGTCCAACATTTACTTTTGCTGAAAGGGATCCTATAGTAGAAGATTCATTACCGGAACAGCAAATTCTGATGCAAATGTTTAAAAACCTTGTAAAATTTTCTATTATGAGTGTCACACAGGGGTCACATTAATAAGATGCCCTTTTTTGTTTGTTGGGCTAAAAAATTTAATATTGAAAGTTGGTATAATTAATTACTGAAGCAAAGAGGAAATGCCATCTGGTTTTAGTTTTAGTCCAGCTCCTTCCCATATTATGCGTACAAAACAGCTAAGTGTGTCTTTGTTCACTGTCAAAGCTGGTTGTGCAAAGACTGTGAGTGGACAGAGGAGACAGAAATCCTTCCTCTGTACAAAAGGCGATCCTTAAGATAAGAGACAGAGTGTTCTGGCAAGGAAGTGTAAAAACACTTGTTCTTACATTGTTTCTGGGATTGTCGTTTTGTGACATTGAACCCCAAAGGGGATCCATGATTTAGGAACACACAAATTCCATAACAGTATTTTTGTTTCAAAAGTGCCAGTGTAGGATGTTTCTTGTGATGTTAACTATGAACACATGTTCTTTCTTTCAGAACAAGTCAAATGCACCTAGTGAGAGCAACCTTACCCTGCTCTGCAGCAGTGCTAATGATCAAGCAGAGTGGAACCTCGGTCAGGATGACAGTGTCCTCCATGGGAAGCAGCTCCCTCCATCACCAAGGAAGCAAGTTTCTTCTGGTGGCCATAGAGTATCTCTCTCAAGGCTGGAAGAAGAAAGTAGTGACAAAACCATTATTACTGACAAGATGGACACCACTAGTATGACATCCACATCTCCAGTAAGATCAAGTGCCCCGTTTGCTTCTCTAGAAAGTTTTGAAGCAGGCTATTCTTCCTATAAGCATGCAGAGCGGAATGAAACACTAAGCAATACCTCAGAAGATCAGCTCCCAGCAAGTCTTGCTCAACATCCATCCATTCTGGTCCCTTGGGAGAAAGACAGGAAGAAAGGAAAGGAAACTCCGGAAGAGGGTGGGCTTCTTCAAGAAGTAGTGTCATTATGTAAACTGAGTTCTGCTTTTCACTATGGTTTGAATATTTCCAATGATAGTTTATCCAGCAGTAGTAGTGGAAATAAAACGTAAGAAAACTATGAGAAGACAAACTTGACTCCCATCAGAAGTTAAAGGGAGACTACTCAGGACTCCATATAAGATGATAACCAAAAGATGAAAAAGGAATGAGATATCTTCAGTTATAAAAATAATTCTCTTTAGTCAAATATGCATTTTCTGCCATTGGGATATCCGCTTCTATGTTTACCCAGTTCATTTGTTGGCTGTAGTTAGGTCCACAAAATGGAACTAAAGATATGAATGCACTCTTAAATCAGGTACTAGTTAGTTTCTGTGTTAAAAATGCAGCAGGTGTATGGTGCTTCCTAGCATTTGCTTCCTCTAAGCAGCAGGAAAGGTATCATCTAACAGGTAGCCAGGTTTTGAAGGTACTGTATTAATCCCATTAAGCATGAAATGAACCGAGCAATCTGTCTGAAATGTACAAACATTAATATTTGTAATGAATAATAATTGCCTTAATCTTTTGAGAAGAGGTCTAACTATCTTAGAAGATGAATGCAAATCTACAAAACAGCAATAATGATTTTCCGTGGCAAGAAATTG